GCTCAACCACTGTTTAGTATATTCCTAGTGTTGATCCTTGTAAAACTGGACACCGAAAGCTGTCTCCCTCTTATTTCTAATTGAATAAGAGAAAGAACAAGGGGAGGGAAGTGCTTTTAACATCTTATCTCTGAGAAAAGAGAGAAACTCGAAGCAGGAAAATACAGATGACTCTCAGATCTGGCTTCTGGGCCAGACCAAAGAAGGAATTTAAAAAGTGGGAAGCTGATTCGCCTCCGACAATCTTTTCACTTTGGGTTTTGTACCTTAACAAGCCTCGGGGCCGCAGGGGGTACGCGGGGCAGGCATGAGGGCAGAAATAAGTTACTGAAGCTCGCAGCTGGTTAATATTAACTCACTTTCCTTCCTGAGAAACCTCGCCATGCGGGGCTAATGGGCGAGACTCAGGGCTTTCACTGAGCCCGACTGGCAACCACCACCCGGCAGCCGTGTCAGGCTCTGCAGGACACGCAGTCCGGGCAGCGGCCACTCCGCCCTCCCCAGTCCCGTAAGGTCGTCACAGGGCACAGCGTCTCCAGGGCCCGCAGTCCTGATGTCATTTCTTGCTGAATGTTAAAATGTAGCCTGGCCGGTGTGGCTCAGTGGTTGAGCGTCGACCTATGAACCGGGAGGTCACGGTTCAATTCCTGGTCAGGGCACAGGCCCAGTGTGGAGCGTGCAGGAGGCAGCTGATCAATGACTCTCTCTCATCATTGATGTTTCTATCTCTCTACCCTTCTCCCTTCCTCTCTGAAGTCAATAAACATGTATTTAAAAAATAAAAAAGTGTTGCCGAAACTGGTTTGGCTCAGTGGGTAGAGCGTCAGCCTGCGGACTGAAAGGTCCCGGGTTTGATTCCGGTCAAGGGCATGTACCTAGGTGCGGGCACATCACCAGTAGGGGGTGTGCAGAAGGCAGCTGATCAATGTTTCTCATTAATGTTTCTACTTCTCTATCCCTCTCTCTTCCCTCTGTAAAAAAATCAATAAAATATATTAAAAAAAATAAAAAAATGTTAAGAAGTAGCGTAGCATTTTGTAGCTGCAGCTAGATACAGGGTGGGCCGACAGAACTCAGAGGGACGACAAGACAGCTCTCCCGGAGGCAGAGCTTCCAGTGGGTGAACTACCTTGCAACAGCGCACTCTGTTTTTGAATGGACCCCCCCCCCCCCCCGCCCCCGGCCCTCGTGTTCCACAACAAAACCCGCCAGAGGCTCCCACGGGGTGGGGCGTCCGTGAAGCTTCACCTCTAAAAGCAGGCGGAGCCTGGCCGTGTCCTCAGTGGTTACAGCACTGGCCCCAGCACCGAAGGGCCTCGGGTTTAATTGCGGGTCAAGGGTGCTTACCTGGGCTGCAGGTTCAATCCCCGGTGCCAGGTGCCCGTGCCCAGTGAAACCGATCCATGTCTCCCCTCCCCTCTCCCCCTCCACAAATCAACGGGGAATGTCCTCAGGCGAGGACTGGCAAACACAAAACCAAAACCAGGACCAGGTAGGAGCTGGATCTGGCCCCTGATCTAAACACTCCATTTTCAGCTCTAACTGTCCTCTCTCTCTCTCTCTTTTAAATATTTTTATTGATTTTTAGGTAGAGAGGAAGAGAGAGAGGGAAATATCAATGAGAGAGTTGCAAGGATTGGCTGCCTCCTGCACACACCCTCCTGGGGATCCAGCCCTCAATCCGGGCCCATGGACGACCTGGACCCACTGAGCCACACCCGCCAGGCACCTGTCCATTCCCTTAAACACACAGGCACCCGGAAAAGGAGGCTGTGTGGGCCCAGGCTTCAGGTTACCATGGCGTTGTGATCACTGTAACGTTAACATCAAGAATCAATTGTGAGCGAAACAAACCACCCTCTTGGGGCCTGGAGGCCAGTGTGTGTGGCTGGCTGGCCGTTTTGGATCCAGAAGGATGCTCACCTCCTGCTCTCTGACCCCCCCCCCCCCTTACCCACGTACCCAGCCCTCCAGGTCCCTAGTGCCGGAAGGGCACCAGCAGGCTGTGCTGGCCACTCAGCTGGGAGCGCAGAACCGCCCAGGAACTAGGGCTGGCACGTGCCCAGGAGGCCCAGTAGAAATGGTAACTTTAAAAGAAAAGCAGGATAAATGTGCTTCTTCTACTACTCATAGGTCTTTATTATTGTTACTATTATTATTATGTTGTTGTTGTTGTTAATCCTCACCCGAGGATGTTTTCCCACTGATTTTTAGAGAGCGGAAGAGGAAGGGAAAGCCAGAGAGAAACATCGAGGTGAGAGAAACACATCGATTGGCTGCCGCCTGCATGAGCCTGACCAGGCTGGGGAGGAGCCTGCCCTTGACGGAAACCGAACCCGGGACCCTTTGGACTGCCAGCGGCGCCCTAAGCACCGAGCCCCCCGGCTGGGCCCTTCCGCACAGATTCCACGTGGCCTGCTGGCGAGGCAGGCTGTTCCGAGCAGCAGAACCAATAGGCTGCTGCTCTGGGCCCAACAATCCCGATGTTACACGCCAACTCCTCTGCGCGCGAGTGTGGGTTCCGAACCTCTCCCGTCGTCCTCTTGTGAGGGACCCCGAGACCAAACGCAAAGCCGGGCCGCTGTGCCCGGAGGCCAGGCGGTTATGGGAGACGCGCTGCGCACACGCCAGCCCGCGCTCCGGTTACCCTGAGCGCTAACGTGGAAACGGCCGCCTCTGCTCCCGACCTCACTCCTCACCGAGCACGGGCCCAGGTTCTGCAGCAGCCATGCCCAGCCCGCACCCTGCCCCGCGAGGCATGGCCGAGGGGCGGCCAGGGACGGGCACATCACAGAGGCTGGGCCTCAGGGCGGGGCAGGGGCCTGAAGACGGGCACTGAGGGGGCTCCACTGGGGTGGGGCTGGGGGCGCTATAAGGGGGCGGCTGGTCCCGGGCCGTGGTAAGGAGCAGATGCCAGGCTAGTCCAGTTGCCAAGGGAAATACCACTTGGGGACACTTCCTGCTCTGAGTACCACCAGCTGCAGCTCTCCCCTGAAGTGACTTGTTCATCGCAAGGAAGTTCGCACTTTTGGGGCGTCAGGCAGACAGCTCCCACTGGGGCCTCATCCTCACCCCCTCACCAGCCACCTCCCCGCTGGCCAGGTGGCCCGGCAGGGTGCTTGTTAATACATTACACGGTGTTTTACAGAAACGTTAAAGGCAGGCCTTAAAATGAAATACCCATTGCATCTTGAAGTTATTTATTACGCGTTCTTACAAGCTGATGCTCTTTAAAGTGTGGTCTTCTGTAAAACTTGTACTCGCTCAGTAGAAACTTATCTGGCCACTGGGTAAAGCCAGCAATGAAACTACTGGTGCCCAATGTGTTAAGGGGAATTAGGCCCCGCCCGGCCGGTGTGGCTCAGTGGTTGACCTCTGAAGCAGGAAGTCACAGTTCTATTCCCGGTCAGGGCACAGGCCCCGGTTGGGGGCTTGATCCCCAAGTGCAGGGTGTGCAGGAGGCAGCTGATCCATGATTCTCTCTCATCACTGATGTTTCTTTCTCTCTCCCTTCTTCTCTAAAATCAATAAAAAATATTTTTTTAAAAAAAGAGGGATTAGATCCCATTTTCAATGTCCCATATTCCCGGGGCTTGGCCATCCTCCAGGACAAAGGGTTCTTGTTTATTCCTGGGGACGGCCGTGGCCGGGGAGCTGGTGAGCGGGCTGTTTGCTCAGGGAGCGCCTAACACTCTCTGGTATGAGTGTCTGGGTGAGAGTCTGCTGGAAGCCCGTGTCCAGTGGGGCCGACTGGACGGGTGCTCTCAGGGTGGAGAGAACACAGGCGTGGCACCCTCTCAGTGACCGGGATGCATCTGGGGAATGGGGGCGGGTCCCAGGGGTCAGGAAATCCACGCCCTGGGAGGCCAGCCCTGCCCGGAGGCGGGAGCCGGGGCCGCGGGCGCAGTTGCACGGCAGTCACGTGACCAGCCTCCCTCTGCCAGCACTGAGGCATGTTTTCCTTTAAATGATTAAACTCAGTTGAACTTCGTTCAGGAAAATTTTCCATCTGAACACTGTTTTCCAGGCTGAAAGGGTTTCCAGGGAGGTTTGTTTTTCTTAAAGAGAAACCTGGTGTCGACGGCTTCCCGCATCTGGGGCTCAGCACCCCCAACGATACCAAATCGTGTCTCTGGCCCGCCTCCTCCCCCGCCTGGCTAGACAGCACGTCCAAAGGGAAAAGAAAGGCAGGCAGGAGGTTAAAAACGCGTCCCGGCCTCTCGATAATACAACCAAGAGGCTCTGGACCTGATCCCACGTCTACCCCACTGCCGTGGGCATGAGGCTAAGGCCACCCCCGAATGCCCGGGGCCGGCCGGCGCGGGCTGCCCAGTCTGCACCCGGGCTCATGTCCAGTCAGGAGAGGGTGAAGCCCAGACCTGAGCACCCAGCTTCGGGGAGGGAAGGGGGGTGTGGGGGGGGGAAGGGGGGCAGCTAGTCCCAGAAAGACAAGCGTGACTGTCACCTCCCCAGGCTGCACCTCACAGCCTGGGCCGTCCTGCTCCTGTTTGCCGTCACTGCGGTCACTTAAAGACAACAGCGTGTTCTCTCTTTCTCTCTTTACTGCCCCACGGCCAAAGCCTGGGTGAAGCATGACCAGTAGCTGCTCGGGTTCCCTTTGCTTTTTTCCTGGGGGGAGAGGATGCTTTTTCTGTCTCTCTCTTTTACATTTTTTTTCTTTCCCAAACGTGATTACTTCTTTAATCCTCACCCGAGGATATTTTCCACTGATTTTTAGAGCGAGTGGGATGGGGAGAGACAGAGAGAAACATGGATGTGAGAGACACAGGGATTGGTTGCCTGACCAGGGCCAGAGCTGGGGAGGAGCCTGCAACTGAGGTGCATGCCCTTGGCCCACGTTCTATCCAGTGAACCACACCGGCCCTGCCGGGGCTGCCTCTGGATGAGGTTTTGAGCAGGAGGGAGAGGGGTGCATAGGGGGGGCGGGGGGGTAGGCGGTCACCCCGCCCCGCCCTCGTGGCCCCACCCACCGCTACCCGACTCGGATCCACCCTGCCCGGCACCCCCAAACCAGCGGCACCCCAAACCAGCGCTCCCATCCCCCGCCGCGCCTCCGCGGCCCCGCCCGCGCCCCGGCGGCTGTGAGCGCGGCGGGCGGCGGGCGCCATGGGCAGCGGCAGCAGCCGGAGCGGCCGGGCCCTGCGGCGCCTCCGCGGCCCCGACAGCCGGCCGGCGGGCCCCGGCGGGGCGGCCCCGGACTCGGCGCCGGCGGGGGCCCCGGAGACGGCGGTGGCGGAGGCCCGGGAGGAGGTCCCCGAGGCCGCGGGGGCGGCGGCGGCGGGTCCGGCCCCCGGGCCCACAGCGCCCCCCGACGGCCGGGACGAGACGCTGCGCCTGCTGGACCAGCTGCTGGCCGAGTCCGCGGCCTGGGCCCCGGGGGAGCCGGCCCCGCGGCGCCCGGCGCGCCCCCCGCCCGCCGCCGGCGCGGGGAGCCGGGTGAGTGTCTGCGCGCCGAGTCCCCGCGGCCCCCGGCTGCACGCTCACCTCCCGCCATGCACCCCCGCGGCCACAGCCTGTCTCCTCCGGGCGCCGCTCCGCTGGGGGGAAGCTGGGAGCGGCTTTCCGGGGTCAGGCCCCCCCCAAACGGTCTGGGGCTTCCGTGGCCCAGACCCGCCATCCTCCCCCGGGGACGTGTCCCCGCTCCGCTCCGCCGGCCCCGCGCCCCCCAGCCACCCCCCCGCCCCCCATACACACCCCGGGCGGGGTGCCCCCCATACACACCCCGGGCGGCCGGGTGCGGGCGGGGTGCCCCCCATACACACCCCGGGCGGCCCGGGTGCGGGCGGGGTGCCCCCCATACACACCCCGGGCGGCCCGGGTGCGGGCGGGGTGCCCCCCATACACACGCCGGGCGGCCGGGTGCGGGCGGGGTGCCCCCCATACACACGCCGGGCGGCCGGGTGCGGGCGGGGTGCCCCCCATACACACCCCGGGCGGCCGGGTGCGGGCGGGGTGCCCCCCATACACACGCCGGGCAGCCGGGTGCGGGCGGAGGGGCGCTGACGGGGGCCGGGCCACACAGCGGCGCCCAGGTGCCCGGTCGGGCCGGGCTGCGGACAAGGCGTGAACAGCGGCTCCGGGCGCGGGGGCTGCAGGCGGCCCGCACCCCTCGGCGGCGGCGGGGCCCTGAAACCACCGCCCGGAGGGACGGGGTCAGGGCCGGCCCAGCCCGGACAGCCCAGAGCCACCTCCTGTCCGTCCGCCCTCCCCGCCCGCTGCCTTCCCGGCGCCTGCGGTTCGGTTCGGTTCGGTTCGGTTCGGCAGCCTGGCCCGGCCCGCAGGCCCTTAGGCCGCATCAGGGCGCTTAGGTAACGGACGCGGAGACGCAGGGGAGACGTGGGGAAATCCTGGCTCCATGGAAGCGGCGTTCTGGTGGCTGGGACTTTAGACGTGAAAGCAGCATGGACTCGCCCCCAAGCCGCTGGGTCCCGGGCTCCGGGCAGGGCCGCCTCACGCTCCTTCCGGCCGCTCAGGGCCCTGTGGGCTCCTGCTGGGCCGGCGGAGCTCTGGGGAGAGGCGCCCAGAGGCACGGCCCTGTCCGGAGAAGCCGCAGTCTGACCGGGTGGGGGCGGAGGAGAGCTTCAGGCAGGACCGGGTACAATGTGGTCTGGATCTGCAGGGCCCGAGGCTGGCTCCGTGGCTGAGCGTTGACCTCTGAGCCAGGAGGTCATGGTTGGATTCCCCATCAGGGCACAGGCCTGGATTTCCGGCTCTATCCCCAGTGTAGGGCGGGCAAGAGGCAGCCAGTTATTCTCTCTCATCACTGATGTCTCTCTCCTGCTCCCTCTCCCTCTGAAACCAATAAAAATAAATTAAAAAGGAAGGAGCAGCTGAGCAGGAGGAGCAGCTGAGCCTGGGGAGCCAGGCCGGCCTCCAGGACAGGCTCACCTGAGTCTGGCAGACAGCGGAGGGAGCCCTGGGCAGGGAACCCCGTGTGCAGAGGCGTCGGCGGCCTGGTGGCAGGGACACGGGTGCTGGGGCTGACGGTGGTCAGAGGAAGCTGGCATGGAGGGGCTGGATGCCAGGCCTGGGGGCACGGGAAGGTGCAGAGTGAAGTGGACAGGATGTCGCTGGGTGGGCACTGCCCGGAGATGCTGCCGAAAATGTGGCCCAGGAGTCCGGGTTCCCAGGGGGCTGGGACCAGCCCTAACTAACAGACTGGTGAGAGGGCGGCAGAGGTGTGGCCAGCATGAACACGCTCCCGTGCCAGTACCTGGAGCCCAGCCCAAGGCCACCCCCGCCGGTTCTCGCCGGACTCTGCCGCCCAGGAGCTGGTGGGCAGGGCCCTTTGGCTTCTTGGTTTTTGGTTAATCCTCACCTGAGGATATCTTTCCATCGAAGCTTAGAGAGAGGGAGAGGGAGAGGAGGAGACAGGGAGGGGAAAACATTGATGTGAAGGAACCATATCGATTGGTTACCTCCTTACGCGCCCCAATCGGGGCCGGGGGCCGAGCATACAATCGAGGTACATACCCTTGACCGGAATCGAATCCAGGCCCTCTAACCTGTCCACTGAGCCCTCTGTTCCCTGAGAGTTTGAGAACCCAGGCTGCTAAGGTGAAGGGACCTTAGCAACCGCCTAGGGCTGCTTGGCATTTATATTAGAGGCCGTGGGGCCCAGCACAGTGACTGCCCAAGTCCCCGCCCCCAACGCCAGGTCATCTCCTCTGGGAGCAGGATCTGGTCGGGGAGCACAGCCAGGAGGGAGCACACCCGGGGGGAGAGGGGGGTTCACCAGCTGCAGGCTGAGGAGAAGTATTTGAAAATATATGTGAGTGTGCTTTTAGTTCTGTGTTGTTATTCCTGATCCGAGGTCATTTCCCCCCATTGATTTTTAGAGAGTGGGAGGGAGGGAGGGAGAAACGTCAATATGATTGGTTGACTCCTGCAGGTGCCCCGACTGGGGCCAGGGACTGAACCTGCATCCCAGGTAAGTGTTCTGACCGGGAATCGAACCCATAGCCCTTTGGTGCAGGGGCCGATGCTAACCACTGAGATGCACACACCAGGGAGTGAATGTGCTTTAACAAGTGATAACACTCCACGTGAGTGTAACTTATTGTCACTACCCTCCAGTCCCGCCCCATTAGCTTCCCAGGTTCTCCCGCCTTTCTTTCTCTTTGGAAACACGTTCCTGAAGGCAGGTCTGGGGGAGGCAGAGGCCCTGGGACAGTGGTCTCAGAGTCAGAGCCTCCTTCCAAAAGTGCTTCCTCATTTTAGCAACTTGCAAAACAACTGTCCCCCTGGCCCCACAGCCTCTGCGAGAGGCCTGTAAGTGCGGGCAACAGCGCCCTCTGCTGGTGAGAGGGCTGCACCCGATTGGCAAAATCCGGTACAAATGAGCTGAGGCTGGGAGTAAGGTACCCGGAACCCAGTCCCTGTTCTCTCTGCTGGAGATGTTCGCTGGCCATAGTGAAACCTAAAAAAGCAACCCAAACCTGGCCTTCAGAGAAAAGAGAACTCCTGAGCCATGCCACCTGGTGGACCTCAGAACCGCGATGCAGACTGAAGGAAGCCAGACAGGAAGGGTGCTCCGTGTGCGAGCCCAGCAGCTAGGCTTCAGGGAGAGCACCTGCAGGGATGGGAAGCGGACCCTCGGCTGCCAGGAGGTGGAGGTGGAGGTGGAGGTAGTTGTAGGAGGGAAGAAGGTGGAGGTGGGAGGCGGAGGCGGGAGGGAAGGAGGTGGAGGTGGGAGGCGGAGGCGGGAGGGAAGGAGGTGGAGTGGAAGGTGGGAGATGAAGGAGGCAGCAGAAGGCAGGAGGTGGAGGCGGGAGGGAAAGAGGTAGAGGTGGGAGGTGGGAGGGAAGGAGGTAGAGGGGAGGTGGGAGATGAAGGAGGTAGAGGTGGGAGGCGGGAGGGAAGGAGGTAGAGGTGGGAGGTGGGAGGGAAGGAGGTAGAGGGGAGGTGGGAGATGAAGGAGGTAGAGGTGGGAGGCGGGAGGGAAGGAGGTAGAGGTGGGAGGTGGGAGGGAAGGAGGTAGAGGGGAGGTGGGAGATGAAGGAGGCAGCAGAAGGTAGGAGGTGGAGGCGGGAGGAAGGAGGTCGGCCACACAGAGCTCACTTAGTATGTCCACTGCAGCGAGGTTAACAGGTGTATCCACATGTCACACCTACGGGACTGTGCCCTGCAGACTCCTGCTGCTCTGTGGCCACGCACCTCAGTTGACAGGCGCGCACAGACGGGGCGGGCGAAGGGAGGCGCTCCGCTCTGAGTGCGCCCAACACTTTTCCTGTCTTATTACTTATTGCTATTGTATTATTTCCCACGAACAACTGTAAACCTATTTCCCCACGCTGTTATTCATATACCAGTGTCGAGGGCTAAGGGGAGAACTCGTAGGCAGAAGCAGCGGGACAAAATACATTCTGGTAAGATATGTAGTGGATTTTCTAAAATTAACTATTGATATTTCACTGTTCTAAAAACACACCCTCTTGTAAGAAGTCAGATGAGATGTTCAGAGATCATCTTACTCCACCCCTCCTGTTGGGTGTGGTTGTACAGTGCCTCCATGGGATTTATGTGCTTTAAAATATTTTTTTATTAGCCGAAACCGGTTTGGCTCAGTGGATAGAGCGTCAGCCTGCGGAATGAAGGGTCCAGGGTTCGATCCCAGTCAAGGGTATATACCTTGGTTGCAGGCATATCCCCAGTAGGGGGTGTGCAAGAGGCAGCTGATCGATGACTAGAAAGGAAGGGAGGGAGAGATAGAAACATCAATGATGAGAATCATGGATCGGCCGCCTCCTGCATGCCCCCCACTGGGGATCAAGCCCATAACCCGGGCGTGTGCTCTTGACCAGAATCAAACCTGTGACCCTTCAGTCCACAGGCCGACGCTCTATCCACTGAGCCACACCATTGAGGGCAGGATTTCAAGTGAGAACATGTCTCCACCCAGCCCAGACACAGCCCTCCCTGAGCTCAGCCAGGTCCCCACACCCCAGCCCCGGCTCCGCCCTCCTTGGGGTCCAGCTGTCTGACCTCCCGGTGGCATTCTGCCTGCTGTCTGGTGGCGGACACTTGTGTCTGCCAGGGGCCTGGAGCAGCCACCAGGGGCCGCTGTGCCTCCGCTTCCCACCAGGCTCCCCTTGCATCTTCTATAAGCTGTAGGTCTGGGAGGGCCTAACGTCGCCCATCCCATCGGAGAGGGTCAAGTTAACGTCCAGGCGGCAGGGAGGTCCTGAGGAAAGAGTGTGCCTACCTTCTGAACGCAGCCTCAGGGGGTCCAGTCCACGGTGTGCTGGTGCGCGTCCCTGCTCCGCGAGGCGGCCAGCCGCCGTCTGTGCAGAAGTGTGATCTCACCGGGTGCTTTCCCCCGCTGTCCTGCTGGGAGAGACCGTACTGTAACAACCCCTACCAAACCTGGTGGCGAAAGGAACAGCCACCCCGGGGACAGCAAAAGCCCGCCCAGCAGAAACCGGCGAGCGGGAACTGAGGCTTCACAGCCACAGCTGGAGGGAGGGAGGGTACCGGTGTTGTTTAAATTCTCTGTGGCCCCTGAGGATTCATCCAGGCCAAGGAGACAGCCTTCAGGCAGCCCACGGGGACCGGAAGCCCGTCTCACACGGAGTCCTGTGCACCCACGTTCATGGGAGCGTTAGTCTCAACCGCAAAGGCGGGAGCGACCCCCGTGTCCGTCGCCGGGCCGGCGAACAAAGTGCATGACGAACATACGGTGCCATGGCGGGGAGAGGCCACCTCGCCCTGTCAGAACGGCTCTCATCTACAAGCCACCTGTGCTGGTGAGGACACAGAGAGGGAACGCTGGTGCGAATGCAGCCGGCATGGAAAACAGTGCGAATTTCCCCCAAATTAAAAACGGACCTGCCTTGTGACCCAGGATTCCACTTCTGGGTAAATACCCAAAGAAACCTGAAATACTAATTCCAAAGAGCGACTGCCCGTGTTCACTGCAGACGCAGCCGGTGGCCACCCCTGGACCAGCGGCTGAAGATGCTGGGGTGCCTCTGCCCGATGGGACACGCCGCGGCCCCAGCCAAGAATGGGCTCTGAACTGTTTCCGGCAGCACGGACACAGGGTGCTATGCTAAGTGAAACAAGTCAGAGAAAGACAAATCCCAGGATTTCATGTATATGTGGATCTAAAGAGCCATATAAAAAAACAAAACAGAAAAAGACTCCTAGACACACAGAAGAAAGTGATGGCTGCTGGGGGCTGGAGGGGGAAGGGATGGAGAGAAGTGCAGATGGGCAGCTACAGACAGACACGGGAATGTTAAGTACAACGTAGGGACTACAGTCATAGGAACAGCTGTGCGTGGGGCCAGGTGGGTACCATAAATAGCAGGAGGCACACACTGTAAAATGCGACTACCTAACCACTAGGCTGTACACCTGAAACGAATACAAAGCAATACTGACTGTAACCAGAGGAAAATAATACACTTTTTAAAAAAATGTATATATTTTATTGATATTTTACAGAGAGGAAGGGAGAGAGAGAGCTAGAAACATCGATGAGAGAGAAATATCGACCAGCTGCCTCCTGCACACCCCCCACCGGGGATGTGCCCGCAACCAATGTACATGCCCTTGACCGGAATCGAACCCGGGACCCTTCAGTCCGCAGACCAACGCTCTACCACTGAGCCAAACCAGTTTCGGCGAGAATACACTCCTAAGAAAAGTGGTCCGGTCGTCCATTGGTGCCCATGGGGGTTGGTTTCAGGGTTCCTGCAGACACCACACCCTTCAGATGTTCTAGTCCCTTCTTTAAATGGTGTAGTGTTTGTGTATAACTTCGCAAATACTTTAGATCAGTGGTCGGCAAACTCATTAGTCCACAGAGCCAAATATCAACAGTTCAACGATTGACATTTCTATGGAGAGCCACATTTTTTAAAACTTAAACTTCTTCTAACGCCACTTCTTCAACATAGACTCGCCCAGGCCGTGGTCTTTTGTGGAAGAGCCACACTCAAGGGGCCAAAGAGCTGCATGTGGCTCGAGTGCCGCAGTTTGCCGACAACCATCACCAGATTACCTATCACACCTAATACCACGTAAACGCTGTATAAACAGTCGCTAGGCTGTGCTGTTGGGGAATGATGATGAGAGAAAGCCTGTGTTCAGCGCGCACACAACAATGCAGCCTGCTACACAGCGCACTCAGCAACCTGAGGCGCTCCTTCTATTCTGGACCCGTTGGTTGGATCTGGATGCAGCACCCGTGGACACGGAGGGCCACCGTGTCCACACGCAGAGGGACGGTGCCCGGTCCTGGTGACACACACAGAGGGATGGTGCCCGGTCCTGGGTGACACACGCAGAGGGATGGTGCCCGGTCCTGGCTGACACACGCAGTGGGATGGTGCCGGTCCTGAGGGCTGGATGTGGCGGCCATCGGGGTCACAGGAAGCCGGAGCGGGGGAGGCTCGCCAGCGGTCACCCCTTGATGCCTCTCCTTCTGTCCTCAAGGTGTCCCCCGAGTGCAGTGCCGAAGACCACCCGGAGAGCAGCGGCGCACCCCAGTGAGTCCAGGAGTCACTGCTGCCGGGCCCATGTCCCCGGACCCAGCTCATCCCGCGCAGCTCCCCTTAGAATGCAAAGCTCTGGCTCGTGGGGGATGGGGGGAGCAGGCCCCAGCCTGGGACAGCGCAGACCCTCCCAGCCCAGCAGCTGGGACCCTCCTGAAGAGCCTGACCCATCACTCAGGCGTCCCGGACCCGCCCCTCCCGGTCGTAGCCGCACCTGTCACTCAGGATGAGACGCCCACCTTGGCCTTCGGGAGCTGACTGCCCAGGGCACTGGGGCCCCTCTAGTCCCAGGAAAACACACTTAACCCCCCGGAGGGGTCCCCCGAATTGACGCCCTGGGACCCCTGGCTGGAGGCAGGCAGGGCTAGGCCTGCTCCAGGGAGAGGGCGAGTGCGGGAGGGGTCCCCAGGGCAGGGCTTCCTGGTGTGGTCCCGGGTGATCAGAATCCCCGGGCGGTTTCCCAGGAGAGAGACGGAGCTCCGAGGCCACGTCTTGCCTCCTGACACCGTGTCTGCTCTGGCCCGCAGAGCCCCGGGCAGCGGCCACCAGCGGCCGGAGAGGCGGTCGGTCATCGTGTACGACCGCTCGGAGGAGGAGCTGATGGCCAGCATCGAGCAGGAGCACTGCCACTGAGGCCCGGCCGGCTCCGGGAACCGGGCCCACACACAGCGACCCCGGGCTGCAAACCGACCTGTCCACCCGCCCCAGGAGCCTGCTGCCAGGGGCCTGGGTGCTGGCGGAGGGAGTTGCCTGGGCTCTGCGGTGACTGTCCCGGAGGCGGTGACTGTCCCGGAGGCGGTGACTGTCCCAGAGGCGGTGACTGTCCCGCAGAGGTGGTGACTGTCCCGGAGGCGGTGACTGACCCGGAGGCGGTGACTGTCCCGGAGGCGGTGACTGTCCTGCAGAGGCGGTGACTGTCCCGGAGGCGGTGACTGTCCCAGAGATGCGGTCCAAACGCAGACTCTGACCCGGTGGGGCCGTGGGGGCCTCCGAGCCCACGTTTCTAACGAGCTCCTGGTGAGACCACGCTGCGGGCCCCCCACTTCCTCGAGGGGCAGGATTGAAGGAACCTGCGTGGGAGGCTGACTCCCGGAGGGACAGCGCGGGGATGGGGCCTGGGCAGCTGAGCCTGCCCTTGGGGCCTCAGTTTCCCTCTCTGGGAAGGGAGTGCTGGCGGCTCTGTCCGCACGGTTCCAGGCTCCCGGTTCCTCTGGTCCCCGCCCCCCTGGGAACTGCCCCCTCCCTGCTGAGGAGCACCGGCCCCGGGGCCCGGAACTGCCCCCCGAGGGGCTCCCCGCCCCCCTGGGAACTGCCCCCTCCCTGCTGAGGAGCACCGGCCCCGGGGCCCGGAACTGCCCCCCGAGGGGCTCCCCGCCCCCCTGGGAACTGCCCCCTCCCTGCTGAGGAGCACCCGCCCCGGGGCCCGGAACTGCCCCCCGAGGGGCTCCCCGCCCCCCTGGGAACTGCCCCCTCCCTGCTGAGGAGCACCGGCCCCGGGGCCCGGAACTGCCCCCCGAGGGGCTCCCCGCCCCGGCCAGGCCTCAGGCCGCGGCCCTCACCTGGCAGCGCCCGCGGGGCCTCAGCCTCGAGGCCCACAGCGGCCTGGCCCAGGACGCCCTCCGCCGAGGCAGGGCCGGCACTGCAGCATGACGGGAAGGCGGGGAGGCGGGACTTCCGGCGTGGCCCGGTGTGGTGCTCCCAGCAGCGGAAGCGGAAGCGCAGGGAGAGGAGTGGTGAGGACCCGGATGCTGCTGAGGGCACGTGGCGGGGCAGCGGTTCTGGCCGAAGCCGGAAGCGGTCCCAGCCAGTCCCGCATTGCCCACCAGCACAACGGCCTCCTGGCGTGGCCGGCAGACGCAAGAGCATCTTTTTTTTTTTTAAACGACTAAGCAAGATAGGGATAGAAGAGACTATTTTTTAAAAATTAGTTTATTACTTTAAAAAATATATTTTATTGATTTTTAATAGAGAGGAAGGGAGAGGGATAGAGCGTTAGAAACATCGATGAGAGAGAAACATGGATCAGCTGCCTCCTGCACACCCCCCACTGGGGATGTACCTGCAACCAAGGTACATGCCCTTGACCGGAATCAACCCGGGGAACCTTCAGTCCGCAACTAGTTTTGGCTGCAAGAGCATCTTACCGGACAGACCCACAGCCAGTGCCATCGGGCAAACGGGTGTTTCCGGGAACTTGGCTGCTTTGGCGAGAGGGCCATAGCCGGGAGGTTTCTTCTCCGGAGTCAGGACGGAGCCATGGAGCCGGGAGGGAGGGCTCAGACCCCCACAACGGGCGCTGCTTCTCACCCACGCCCAAACCCTTTGATACAATGATTAAAGCCGTTCCTATTTTAGTAATACACACGCTTTTTAATATTTTCGTTATTTTTTAAGTCCTCACCCACAGATGCTTGATTTTAGAAAGAGGAAGGGAGAAACATCAGTGTGAGAGATCCATCCGCCGCCTCCCACTCGCACCCATCCTGGGGACCCAGCCTGAAACCTAGGGACACGCCCTGACTGGGAATTGAACCCACAGCCTTGTGGTGTCCAGGACAGTGCTCCAGCCAAGTGAGCCACACCGGCCAGGGCACAAGTGCTTTTTTTTTTTTTTTTTTTTTTTTTTTAAATATATTTTATTGAGTTTTGTACAGAGAGGAAGGGAGATAGAGAGCTAGAAACATCGATGAGAGAGAGAGTCATCGATCAGCTGCCTCTTGCACACCCCCTACTGGGGATGTGCCTGCAACCAAGGTACATGCCCTTGACCGGAATCGAACCCGGTCCTTTCAGTCCCCAAGCCGACGCTCTATCCACTGAGCCAAACCGGTTTCGGCACAAGTGCTTCTTTTAAAAGGAGCTGGCATTCCATTTCTCACAACCTGTGGCCGCCGCCCAGAGCAGGGCAGAGGGGGAGGCTCCAGGCAGACTGCTAAATGAAAAGCCCATGAGGATCTCGCCTCCCCAGCACGCCTGCACACACGTGACCAGGACCAGCGTGGCCCACGAGTCACACCTGTGTCTGCCACCATCACATCCCAGGATGGGGGCTCTGGGAGGCCCCGAGCCAAGAGGACTGACTGAATGCCAAGTGAGCTCAGAGGCCAGGGTGGCTCCAGCTGCACCTGACACCCTGAGGGTGGTCTTGCTGGTTTAAGTCTATTTTTATTGATTTCAGACAGGAAGGGAGAGGGAGACACATCCATGATGAGAGAACAACTAATCAGCTGCCTCCTGCATGCCCCACACTGGGGATCAAGCTTGCAACCCAGGCATTATCCTTGACTGGAATCGAACCCAGGACCCATCAGTCCCCCGGCCACTCTATCCACTGAGCCACACAGCCAGGACTTACTGTTCTTTTCAAAGACAAGGGAGTCAACTGTGAGAAAATCTAGTGCTGGGAGATGAGGAGCCTGGTAGTTTGGACAAATATGAGGAGGGCCGAGACCTGACCCACACGTCCCTGGCAACACCCACAGCAGGGGACGCGGATGCAAGCCCAGGCCGAGTGGGTGCGGGAGAGAACGTTCCCCAGGAGCAGAGTTAAGACGGGGGCTGCGGCGCCTCTAAGCCTGGGCTAAGGCTCCCTCCCTCCCACCTGTTGGCACAGGAAGAGCTCGAGGAGGCCACTGGGCCACCCCGCACCCACGGTCCTGCCAGGCCAGACCCAGCACCAGAGTGGCCCCCTCGGCGCTGCCTCTCCTCACCGTTCTCTCAGGGAGACCCTCCACGCAATGCGGGGGGCGGGGAGGGGGGGAGCGGGAGCAGAGCGGGGGAGCGGGAGCAGAACGGAACCCAGGAAGCGGAGAGAAGGCTGGGCCTGGACACACTGGATTTGGTCCGTTATGGTAAATTATGACTGGGGCAGTGAAATGACAAGGGACACAGGTCTAGTTTGCAAATCAAAGGCGTTTTACAGGATTTTATACGATTCAAAGAAAAAAGTTACAACACACATATTCATTTAAATAACAAGTCAAAGTCTGGTGGTACAGGAAACACAATTCCAAGACATTGCAAGTTTTATTACTGAAACCACTTAAAAGGCTCAGAGTCAACAACAATCAAGGGAGCGCTCAGGAAGTCAAGGGCACTGGGAGGCCCCGCAGGGCTCCATTCGGAACCCCACACGGAACCAACCGAGGGTGGCTCTCAGGACAGAATGCTTCAGACAAAACTGTTTCCCAACTGCCCGCCCTTCGGGGACAGACAGAGGCAAAGGAAGCATCTCCGGGAGGCACTGCTACGTCTGACCAGGGAGTGCTCGTCAAAACCTCCGGCAGCTCAGACGACGCTGCTCAGAGGATGAAACACCTCCTGTGGGGTCCCCGCCACCCTGGCAGGACTGACCTTGTGTGTAAGGAAGGGAAATACCAGGTGCACTGCCGCCTCGGACATGCACGTGGGGTGTTCGTGCTGGTTTGAAGGTCCGAGTGGGAGGAGAAAGGGCCAGCGCTGTAACATCTGATGGTTGTTCTTGGGCACGAACATCCTATTTATCACATCCCCCTAACGAAGGTGAATGCCAGGCCCCAGGGGCAAAGGCGAACTCTGCACACCGGGCCAGGGACACCGCCCTGCCCTCCCCTCCGTGCCTCCTCGCGTTCTGCGGCCTGGACTCCCAGCGCCCCCCAGGGCAGGCGCTGTGGGGCGAGGGCCTGTGCCCACAGCCTCAAGGTTGGTGCCCAGGGTCTACTTCCAACTGAACTGCAAACACCCCCTCTGCACGGAGTTTCCCGTGATCACACACCACGAGTGAAGGGGCAGCTGGTGGCACCACGGCCGTTCAGCGTCACATGCGTTTCCTCAGGTTCCCCATCACCAAGGAGCCAGGCCTGGCTGGCCGCCGGCACGCAGCCTGCGCCTGGGTGTGCCCAGCTCAGAGCTGTGCTGGGTGGGAAGCTCCTCCCGCAGTGAGGCTGCTCCCTGCCGCTCTAAGCAGGGCCTCTGCCCACAAAGTGCTGCGGACCAGGCACATGAGCCCCCAACGGCTGGCGGGCAGCTGCGCTATGTTACCTTTTTTCTTCTTTTCCCCCCGGAGTTTGAGGTGCAAACAGGGAACTGCGAATGCCGTGCTCTCCACAGAGCAGACGGAGCCTACAGGCCCCAACCACAGGGTGTCTGTCTGTCTGTGGAGTGTGTTTCAGTCATCCTCTGGGTACATCCTGCACAAGTCACACCGCAGACACAGGCGACTCGTTCTACGCAACCAAAACCTTGATCCTCGGGCCACAGCGGCAAAGGGATGGCTGCCTGAGGGGGCTGCCTGCTTCTCTCCCCGTGTCTCTAAGGACCCTGCCCACCAGCTCCGACCCTAAAACATTCTTCGCGCTAAAAGGCCCGGTCACAGACGTGTGATTATTTTTCCCGGCTGAAGGGTTCTCATACAAACGTGAACCATTGGAAAGACTGCAAAACCATCGATCTAGAAACTGGTGATCGGAGCAACAACAATATAAACCTTTTCATAAAAAAACAGTACAAAGTCAGACCCTGCCTCAGCTCTACAAAACGTGCATAGAAAGGCTGTAAAAAAAATCCAGGTATTGTAAAATTTATTGCTGACACGTTTGAATGCTGGTGATTTGAGATCGTAAAATTTTCTTCCATTCCCTCAAAAAACTTCTGAAACTACAAAAGACACGGAACAGGGTCTCAGCCAAACAGAGAACCGGTAACGGACGCTCCTCAGAGCCAGCCTCCGCTCTCCCAGCCCCCAGGACAGGGACCGGGGCTGGGGGAGAGACCAGCAGCAGGCTGTCCTCCTGGGAGTGCCCGCGGGCACGCCCCGCCGCCCTCAGGCCTCGGCCGGCCGGCTCGCCAGCGGGCTGCGGGGCGCCTCGGCCACGGCGATGCTGCTCGGTTTGCCGGCCTCGGCCTGCCAGCCCGGCGGCTTCCTGGCGGCCACATGCCGCCGGGCGTGCTTGGTCAGGTGGTCGCTGCGCATGAAGCGCCGGGCGCACACGGGGCAGGCGAACTTCTTCTCGCCGGTGTGCGTGCGGCGGTGGCGGGACAGCTCGTCCGAGCGCGCGAACCTCTTGTCGCAGCCGTCCCAGCTGCAGCCGAACGGCTTCTCCCCTGGCGGCGGGAACACACGCGTTACCGAAGACCGAGCGCTCAGCACCCACCGCGCCGCGTTCTCTTTAGTTTTATTTTACTATTTAAAAAAGGTATTTGTATTGGTGTCAGAGAGGAAGGGAGAGGGAGAGAGAGAGAGAAACATCAATGAGGAGAGAGAAGCACTGATCGGCTGCCTCCTGCATGCTCCCTACCTTGGATCGAGCCTGCAACCCGGGCCTGTGCCCTCGGCTGGAAATGAATCCGGGACCCTTGGGTCCACAGGCCGACGCTCTGTCCACTGAGCCAAACCAGCTAGGGCTAACCCCAGTTGTTTTTAAATTTTGTTTCTCAAAACCTAGGACTACAGTAATACCCAGCTACACTGGTATCAGGCCACTCCAAGATGCACTTCTTCCTGCCACGCCTGAGAGGCAATGTGGCAGGGCCCAGGGACGTCAAATCTTCCAAAGCTATCTTTAAATAAAAACAAATCCTCACCCCAACTGGTTTGGACAAGTGGATGGAGCATCCGCCTGCAGACTGAAGGGTCCCAGGCTCAATTCCGGTCATGTACATTGGTTGCGGGTACATCCCCAATGTTTCTCTCTCATTGATGTTTCTAACTCTCTATCCCTCTCCCTTCCTCTCTGTAAAAAAATAAAAAATATACATATTTTAAATCAATCAGTCTTCACCCTAGCCGGTTTGGATGAGTGGATAGAACAGCCGCCTGCAGACTGAAAGGTCCCAGGTTCAATTCTGGTCAAGGGCACATGCTCAGGTTGTGGGCTCGATCCCAAGTAGGGAGCATGCAGGAGGCAGCCAATCAATGATTCTCTCATCATTGATGTTTCTCTCTCCCCTTTCCTCTCTGAAATCAATAAGAATGTATTTTAAATTACAGTGGGGAGAGTAAGGAGATCTGGGGGAGATAAGAGATCAACCGAAGGACTTGTATACATGCATATAAGTACAACCAATGGACACAAAACTCTGGGGAGGGAGGGTATCTATGGGAGGGGGGGACAATGTTAAAATATGTACACAGATAATAATTTAATAAAAAAAGTTACAGTATGTACAGATAATAAATAAATTAAAATGGAAAAAAAAGAAGAAAAAAAAGAATGTATTTTAAGTAAATAAATCTTCAACTGTTAGCTTGTGGTAAGGGGGAGACGTTTTTCCTTAGTGAGTATTCTTTGTTTAAAACGTTGATATTTAGGCTAGAATGGTTATCGCATCTCTAAATCGATCTGCGGTTCCGCTCGCAGACACGCCCACCCGCCTCGGCCTACCTGTGTGGGTGCGGAGGTGCGCCTTGAGGTGGGAGCTTTTGAAGTAGGTCTTGCGGCAGCCGGGGACGCTGCACAGGTAGTTCCTCCTCCGGGAGAAGTCAGCCGGAGGGGCGCCGCCGGCGATGAACACGGGGGCCGGGGCGAGAGGCAGCAGCCTGGCACCGCCCGCAGCCACGACGCCCGCGGGGGCGCCGGAGGCGGGCGGGGGCAGCACCAGCATCATGGCTCCCTGGGGCACGGCCGGGCCCATGAGCACGGGCGGGGGCCCGGGGGCAGCCTGGGGCAGGATGGCTGTGCCAGGTCCGGTGGGCGCCGGGGCAGGGGCCTTCAGAAACGCCGGCAGCACGGCACTCTGTCCGGTCACGGGCACCATGTGGCAAAGGACGGGAGGGCTGGGGGCGGGGACAGAGGGCAGAGGCAGGTCCTCCTCATCGTTCTTTGGTGAGCGGGGTGGCACTGCAGCCGGCCGCCCTGCCTGCTGGCCTTGGTCGGGGAGGCCCGGGTCCCCAGACTTCTTGGGGCGAGGCGGGCAGGGCCCCGGGTTCCAGGCGAGAGAAGGGTCTCCGAGGTGTGGGTCCCGCAGAGCTCCCACGTGTCCGTGCAGCGGAGCCCCTCCCCTGCGGTCCGGAGGCGGGGTGGCAGCAACGAGGCCGGGAGCCGGACTCCCCAGGGCGTGGGGGGCGGCACTGGCCACCTCAGCCCTGCAGGGGGCGCCAGGCGCCGGCTCCAGCAGCTCTGGCTTCGAACCCGGGGGCAGGCTCCTCTCGGCCCTCCGGCTCGGGGCGCTGGCGGCTTTGGCATCAGGCGGGTGGGAAGGAACCTGTGGTCTCGTCAGCGGCTCGGTGAGGTCCGGGCTCTGAGGCGGAGTCATGCACTGGGAGAAGGAAAGGATGTGGGGAAGGGCGCTGTGGCTCCATTTTAAAAGGCAGTTACGTCGATGGGGTGCTCCCGACGCCTTTACAACACGGGCCTGCGCCTCCACTTCCCGGTCTCCCCCTTTCTGACCGCCCACACCGAGCCCTTTGCTCAGCCCTCTTCAGCGCCCTCCTGGGCCTGCACAGGGACGGAACTGAGCGGCGTGAGCATGAGGACGACAATGAGAAAACACATTTGCACTCAGCGAGGGCTTTTCACCGCCATTCCGGGTTCTCAGAAAGGCCTGTGAAACCCTCACACTCACCAGGGCCCACTAGGTGAGGCCGGGCACACCCATCCGAGCGATGACGCCCAGGGCCACGCTCTAACCGGTGTCTGCCTACTCCAAGCCTCTCTGCCGGCCCAGCAATTCCCGCTCCTCAGCCTCCGGGGAGAGCCCATGCCAGGCCGCCCCTGCAGTCCGCTCTGCCCCACGCTCGGCCCTTCTCATCCCTCCACGGCCTCCTCCCAGCGCCAGCCCCCCCAGGACCACGAGGTGACCACGTTCCCTTCTGCAGCAGCAGACAGCTCTCCCCTCTCCCCCCGCAATGGCACGGCCGCAGCGAGTTAACAAAACAGTGCCTGCTCGCAGCCAACTCACTCACCAAGAAGATGGCGGCCACAGGGAGGCAGGGGCCGCCAGCCAACTCAGCTCAGGCTTTCCCCGACCCTGGACTCGGTCATGGCGGGGGGAGGGGGACCTGGTCCCCACCCTGCAGCTGCCCAGGGAAATGAGCACATTTCACTTCCTCAGATCTATCATCTGAGGGCTTTGTCCTGTGCACATGCCAGCCCTGTGCCTGCAAGCTCCGGCCAATGCAGGGAAAGACCCTGCTTCCCAGAGACAAATCAAAGCTCCCTCTCAGCTCCTCCACGGAGAGGCTGTGCGCCCAGCCTGCCCAGACGCACGCAGCCCAGGCCCGCTGGCCACCGCACAACACACCCTCCCGCCTCTCACCAGCGTGGACAAGGCGGGGAAGTCCTTCGGCAGCTCCGGCATGGCCTCGTCCGCCAGCAGGGGGGTGGTGGCGACATCCCCGGAGTCAGACACGGGTGTGAGGGGTCGGACCTTCCAGAGGTCGCCGGTCTGGGACCTCTGACCCCAGGAGCTCATGCAGACAAGAGCCTCGACGGCTTCGATGTCATTCAGCTCCAAGAGGCCGCACGCAGCCTGGCTGTCATGCCGCTTCCGCTCCAGGATGGACTCGCATATGTCCGCAAGGTCTACCTACAGGCGGGCGACACCGCAGCTGCTCAGTCCCGGGGAACAGAGGCAGGCACGGGGACACGCACCGGGGCCTGCACTCACACGTCACACACGCACCACACGCCACACCCAGCATGCTCCGCTCCGGGGAGAGAAGCCACCGGAACGTTCGACCACTCTGCTTTCAGGCCCACGTTCTGAGGACTGGGCGTGGTGGGCAAGACGCTTCCACAGAAAACCTGGTTCCTGCCGAAGCCGGTGTGGCTCAGTGGTAGAGCGTGGGTCTGCGGACTGAAAGATCCCAGGTTCGATTCCGGTCAAGGGCATGTACCTGGGTTGCGGTCACAACCCCGGTAGGGGGTGTGCAAGAGGCAGCTGGTCGATGTTTCTCTCTCATCGACATTTCTAGCTCTCTCTCTCTCTCCCTTCCTCTCTGTAAGAAATCAATAAAAAAAAGAAAAAAAAGAAAAAGAAAACCTGGTTCCTAAAAAGGCTCCTGATATGAGGGTCCTGCTCTGTGGTAACTGATGGGAAAGACGTTAATTCCAGAGGAGGGGCCACAGTGGCTATGACACGGGGAGGAAGGACCACGGGCTCCATCCACTCCTTCTGGTGGGCAAAGCCGCGGGGGAGTGTCCCTGGGGGTGCATTTTGGGCCACATTCTGGAGCCTTCTCCACCGCCCTCAAGCAGAACTTTGGGGCTGGAGGCTGAACTCCATGGGCCCCGGAGTGTAAAGCCTGTTCCTGGTCTGGGGGACCCCCACCTTCATGCCTCAGGGCTAGTGGGGGGGAGGGTGCGGGCCGGGTGAGAAGCAGCGTCTGACTCCCGCTGTCTCCCCAGGCCCCGAAGAGGCGGGTTTCCCCTGAGCGGCCCGCACCGACCCCTCCTCCCGCTCAGGCTCCCGCAGGGCGCAGCGGAGGGGAGGCGGCCTTCCCGTCCCTCTCCGGGCCTGGACGAGCCGGGAAGCCACAGCGGGACCTCACGGGGCGGGGGTGCAGGACGGCAGGGCCCCCAGCCGGCTCTCCGACCCTCGCGAGGACGGACGCGGTGCCAGGACCGGCCAGCGACCGCCCCGCCGCCCTCGGGGCGCGACTGCGGGAGCCCAGGCTGAGCCGCGACCTGCGAGCCCGCTCCCCGGCCCCGCCCGCCGCCGCACGCCTTCCCGCCAATGGCCACCGCCCGGCCTCCGGCGTCACCGCCGGACACAGCCCGCGCCCTCCGCCCGGCGCCGCTGCGGGCGCCACACAAAGCTGCGGGGGTGCGGGCGGGAGCCGCGGGGCACACGGCCCCGTCCGCCCGGCGCCGCCGCCCGCCCGGGCCCTCCAGTGCGGCCGCAGCGAGGCCCCGCGCCCGGCCCCGCACACTCCGCCGCGCCCCGCGCTCCCGCCCGCGCCACTCACCGCGCGCGCCTCGCCGGGACCCGCGGCGGCCGGCGTGTGCATGGTGCCCGCCGCCCCGACGCCACGAGGCGCCGACGGGGCGGGTGCTCCGGGCGCGGCGGCGGCCGCACGTGCGCGGCGAAGGCGGCTCCGCGGCCGGAGCTCCCGGGACCCGCACGCGCCTCCGCCCGCCCGCCGCTCTGTCCGGCGGCCCCGGCGGCGCGGGAGGGGCGGGGCCCGCCGAGGGCGCGGCCGCGGGGCGGGGCGGGAGGCCAACCAAAACACGCCGGGGCGGGGCCGGGGCGGGGCCGGGGGCTCGCCAGCCAATCGGCGCGGGCCCCTGCTCCGCCGGCCAATGGGCGCGGCGGGGAGCCGCGTGATCAAAGCCTGGCCGCGGCGTGCGCGGGGGCGGGGCGCGGCACGTGTCCTGTGGGCGTGGGGGGCGGGGCCTGGAAAGTAGGGGAAAGGTCCCGGCGGCGGCGCGGCGGCGGCGGGAAGTCCTGGTCGGATGGGCGGACTCGGGAGGGGACCTCGTTTAAAGGGGCCGCCGCCGCCGCCCCGTGAATGGAATCAGGCCCCAGAGGCCTCAGCCCGGCCTGCTGGCTGTGTTTTCGTGTAGATGAATCCGCCTCGGGCCGAGGAGGGCGCCGCGGGCCGGAGGAGGAGCGTGGGCACCTGCTTCTCCTGCAGCGCCGGAGCCGGTGCCCAGGCGGGTGTCTGTCTATGCAGCCCTCCCCATCAGCTTTGGGCCGCAGTGTCCGCTCTACGATATTTTCTTAGTGATTTCAGGGAGGAAGGGAGAGGGAGAGAGAGATGGAGACGTCAGTGATGAGAGAGAATCATGGATCCATCCGCTGCCTCCTGCACAACCCACACTGGGGATGGGGCCACAACCGGGCCTGTACCCTGGGTGGGAACTGAACTGTGGCCTCCTGGTTTATAGGTCCAGGCCCAACCGCTGAGCCACACTGGCCCGGCACAGTTTCCACTCTTAAGTGAGGTCAGGAGGAGCCAAGACCGGTGATCAATCACCTGAAAGATGCCTGGTGAAACCTGCCCATTCTTCCCAGACAGGGTCAGTGTCCCCCTCGGGAGGGGCCAGGCCGGAGGAGAGAGCCCGGGGCGCCTTCCCCCTGTGCGGAGAGGGAAACGCCGGGCTCAGGACTCACCCGGCTTGTCTCCCACCGGCCTGACCCCATTCCTCAGGTCCTCACAGCACCTCTGAGGAGCGCTAATTCCTCTTTTCTTTTTTTAAAATATATTTTATTGATTTTTTTAGAGAGGAAGAGAGAGAGAGTTAGAAACATCTATGAGAGAGAAACATCGACCAGCTGCCTCTTGCACACACCCACTGGGGATGTGCCCGCAACCAAGGTGCATGCCCTTGACCGGAATCGAACCCGGGACCCTTCAGTCCGCAGGCCGACGCTCTATCCACTGAGCCACACCGGCTAGGGCAGTGGTTGGCAAACTCATTAGTCAACAGAGCCAAATATCAACAGCACAACGACTGAAATTTCTTTGGAGAGCCACATTTTTACAACTTCTTCTAACGCCACTTCTTCAACATAGACTCGCCCAGGCCGTGGTGTTTTGTGGGAGAGCCACACTCCAGGGGCCAAAGAGCCGCATGTGGCTCTCGAGCTGAAGTTTGCTGACTAAGGGGTCAGGGCAATGCTTGTTTCTGTAGTTATTTGTTAATTGGCTCCGCAATTAACCCTGCAAGGTTAGGGAGCTTGTTCAATTCACTGCTCCCCACCCCCCCAACCTGGCTCATCGTGACTATCGGTTGACAAAGCGAATAAAGGGGAGCACCTACAGGACCCCGACATGGCTCTCCTGCAGGCACCTCCCATGTCACATCCAAACCTGGACTTCTCACCTCCCGCTTCCCCAAGTCCAAGGGTCATCTATGGCTCCTCCCTCTCCTGCACCTGCGTCACCTCCAATCACCTCAGGCCCTTCTTCCTCCGAAATCTCCCAAACTTGGACAAAAATCATACACCTATGGCTGAGGGCAGCAGGGGGGAGGGTAAGAGGAGAGGGTGGAGGGGAGCTATGGGAGGGAAGAAACAATTGTAATAATCGGAACAATAAAGATTTATTAAATTATAAATAAATAAATCTCTCAAACCACTCACTCCTCTCTGCGCCCCTCCTGCCTTCATCTGCTACCGCCCTCTCTCGCCTGACTCACCGCCATTGCCTCCCAGCGGGTCTCCTCCCTCCAGCCTCGCCACCTACCGTCAGCCCCTCCTCTCACCGTCCGAACGACCGTCCATCTTCGGGAAGCAGAGGGGGAGCCGCCGGGCCAGCCCTCCGCTGGAATGCAGGCGGCTCTGGGCCTGCGGGTGCGCCTCCCGCATCCTTCCCAGCCAGTCCTCCCGACACAAAACCTCCAAACATGGCGGTCCTTCTGTGCCGGGCCCAACCCTGCCGTCCCGCCTGCCCCGTGGGCCCGTGTGGCTCCTCCGGGAGCCTGTCCTCACTCCCCACACAGGGCCCCCCGGCAGAGCCGGGGCCTGGGAGCCAGACCGGCCCAAACCCCAGTCCTGCAATGTGGCCCCCCCAGCCTGGGGGTCTCACTCCTCCAGAACAGGAGGTGGTCGTGGCCCCCAGGAGGCCGGCCCCCCAGGAGGCTGCCCCCCAGGAGGCCGGTCCCCCAGGAGGCGGGTCCCCCAGGAGGCGGGCCCCCCAGGAGGCCGGCCCCCCAGGAGGCTGTCCCCCAGGAGGCCGGTCCCCCAGGAGGCCGGCCCCCCAGGAGGCTGTCCCCCAGGAGGCTGTCCCCCAGGAGGCCGGCGCCCCAGGAGGCGGGTCCCCCAGGAGGCCGGCCCCCCAGGAGGCCGGTCCCCCAGGAGGCCGGCCCCCCAGGAGGCGGGCGCCCCAGGAGGCTGGAGCCAAAGCTCTCACTTGGTTTCGGTTTCGGTTTCCGCTGCCTGGACAGTGGCAACACCTGGCAGCTCAGGCCGCGGGCCAGCTCAGGGCGCTCCAGGCCTAAGGCCCTCTTCTTCTCACGTCTAGCCTGTGTTCCGGACAGACAGACAGACAGGTCTTCACTCATGGTGTCCATCCTCCGTTCTCCCCCACATCAACCCAGGCACCCCATGTCCATGAAGCCTTTCTACACGCACACACATGCGCACACGCACACCCAGGCTGTGTGGTGGCTGCCGGCCCTGGCTGCTGGGCCTCCTGTCGCAGAGGGATGTGGACGTGTTTCAAACTGAAGCCCGGCACTCAGAGACCTCTTGAGCCTCGCGGTCAGAGCCGGCGCTGGCAGGCAGACTGGACCCGGGTAACTGCTGTATGCAGTCGATGCCCTCCTGTCTCGTGTGTCCTTCCGGGCAGAGTGTGTGTGCGTAAACATACTGTGACACGGGACAGCCTTGGGTCCCACGCGGACCCTGTGATTGGCGTTTCTACCAAGTTCCCAGATGCCGCTGACCTGCTGGGCCCGGGACCACGCTGTGAGCACAACTGGGTTCGTCCAGTGGCCTGGTTTTGTGGAAACAGACCCGGAGAACAGAAGCAACTACCCAGCCACCCTCTGAGTGGGAGCGAGAGAGGCCTGGGACCCACGGCTCCCGACGGCGCCCCACACGGTTCTCCAGGTCACAAGGCCACCTGGACGGATGCCCCAGGGCCGAGCCGGTGTCCCCAGCCCAGCCCAGGAGATCCCCTTTGGAGGCCAGGGGCGCCGGGCCATGGCATGCACCGCCTGTGGCCCGGGAAGGCGGCCTGAGTGCCCATGGCTGCCAGCCCTCTGTCCAGCCAGCTGCCTGCACCTGGTCCGCCGCCAGCCCGGCTTCCCCAGTGACCCAGTTCGGCGCTGGAAGCAGCCCAGCCGGGCAGCTAGGCAGCTGGGCAGCCGGGTCAGCTGGGCAGCAGCTCAAGGCATTGGCAGAGTGGCCAGTGGACACGTGTCTCGAGTGGAACACCGTGGGCCCGACAGGGGCCTGAGCCAGGATCTGTTGGACCCTGCTCCTGGCTCCCTGAGGGCCAGCCCCCGACTCAGCACAGAGATGGGTTTAACCCTCACCGATGCCAGCCCCCAGCTCAAAGCTGGCACAGCAGGACCTGAGGGGCCACAGCCTCGCCCTGGACGAGGAGGATGAAGTGAACAAGTTGGAAGTACTAGCTACGTCGTCGCCAACGATGTGCCGGACTGGGGTAGCTTACGTAGACTGCCTCACCAGCACCCCGGGGTGGGGGGGCACATGGAGGCCGGGAGGGTGAGGAGCTGTCCAGCCAGGCTCCGGCTGGTGTTGCTGGGTTTTAGGTCACCCGTGTAAGCCATGCTGTCTGCCTCACACATGGTTTGCTGCTCCCCCAGGGTGTCTCACCCAGGCCCTAAGGACAGCCCCGGACCATGGTCTTACAGACCCTCCGGGGGGCCCGGCATCCCCAATCCTCAGCGTCCTCCGCTCCTAAGTGGGGGGAACACTCCTCCCTCGCCGAGTTGTCCTGGGAGCTAAAGGTGGTGTCTACACAACCGGCTCCTACAGGCAACCCGCTGTTATGGCCGGACGGGCCCAGTCCTCCCCTCGTGTCAGCCTGTGTGTGTGTGTGAGTGTGTGTGTGTGTGTGTGTGTGTGTGTGTGGTGTGTGTGTGTGTGTGGTGTGGTACGTGTGTGTTGTGTGTGTGTTGTGTGTGTGGTGTGGTACGTGTGTGTTGTATATTGCATGTGTGTGTGTGTGTGTGTGTGTGTGTGTGTTTATATTCATACTGGGGAAGAGGGAGCAGCAGGGACCTCGCCTGCAGAGGGCAGGGCCTGGGGCGACTCCATAGCCCTCTCCTGCCACACATACACACACACACACACACACACACACACACACACACCCGCTCTGGAGATAAGGCTGAGCCAAAACCGAAACTCAATCCCCCTCCCCCCAGAGAAAGAATGCCCCCAGACACGCACAGCTTATCTCCCAGTGGCCTTGTCTCTCAGGCTGTCTGAGCTCAGCCTGAGGGAGGGGCACAGGGAAGGAGGGCGGGGGCAGGGGAGGGTCCTCAGAGGCTGACTGGCTTCTCACTCTTGCACTGATGTCCTCGAGGCTTGAAACAGCCGTGACGGGAGGCTCACTCCACCTCGACCAGCAGTGCCCTCGCTCGGGGTTTGCTTGGGAGGGTCAGGCCTCCCGTGCTCTCTCCTCCGAGGGTGCCCTGCACAGCAGTGAGGGGTCTGGGGGCCGCCTGGGGGTCGGTCCCCGGCGGGGGCACTGTCTGAGGGCAGGTTCCACCACCTGGGCCATGGCACATCCTTCCTAGGCTCAGTTCTGTTCAGCAAAGGAGTGCAGCAGCATGGGCACACACACATACACGTGTGCGCACACGCATGAGCACATATACAACACACGTGCACACACAGGTGTCCTGCGGTCTAGAGAACTAAAGCATGAGAATGATGTCTCCCCACACAGCGGCCCTGGGGTGCGGGGGCTGGCCCAGGCCTGTGCCCTCTCACAGCCTCTCAGAGCTGCCCGGGCATGGCATGGCTGTCAGGGCTGGGGGCGAAGGGTAGATGGCCCTCAACCCCAGAGGGAGCTGGAAGGCAGGCAGCGGCCAGCCAGGCCTGAGCCAGGGGATGGGCCCGCTGCTGCTGAGCGGGGCACCCTCTGCCTGAAGGGGAGACTGCCTGGAGGAGAGAATGGAAGTGGAGAAAGGGCGTCAGCTGTTGGGAGTGGGTGGAGCTGGGAGGGACACCCTGTCTTCAGGCAGCCAATGCCCTGCTGCCCTGGGACTGTTTCTAGGCCACCAGCTTGGGCGGCTCTGCTGCTGTGTGAGGTGGGGCGGCCACTGAGCCTCTCTGAGCGTTGGCTTTTCAGGAAGGGGAGATAATGGCCCAGCCCTCCCACTTCACAGGGAATCACAGAAGGCAGAACCTTCTCCCCCATGGTCCCCCTGAAGAGGGGCTACTTACTGCCCCCAGGCACCTCGTCCTCTGGGGCCACTCAGCCCCCCCCCCCCAGGCCTGCAGGATGTTTGCTGACTCTTGTCACAGCCAACAGGCAACCAGCGCTGACGGGCGCCGCGCGGCCCCTGTGACGGCCTGTGGCTGCCAGGTCGCCTCGCACTCCCTCTGCAGCCGAGGGCAGGCGTCCACTGCCCGCTCTGTTCTGGGACACGATGGAGACGGGGTGAGGGGCCCCGTGGAAACCTGGCCTTCCGGAAGTGGGGGGCTACAGCGAGAGCCCGGCTGGCTTCCGTGCCCACACAGAGAGGCCAGGAGGCCGTGTCCACCTGGACCACCCTCCCTGCACCCCTGAGACCCAGCTCTGGGCAAGCAGGCCCCCACGTCGCCCAGCTTGGGAACAGGGTCACCCCCAGAGGCTGCCCCAGGCTGGGGAGCTATGGGCTTAGATGCCCCCTCAGGAATGTAACGGTTCTCGCGGCTACTACATTTTGGTTAACAGTTGATACTTATGATTATTACTTAGGGCCCCTCACGGAACCATCACTGGGACCATCTCAGAGCCCTGGAGGGTCACTCAGATGGGGGTGAGGCCGAGGCCGAGGCTGGGCACAAGCAGAAACTGCCAGGGAGGCCCGGCTCGGCTCTGCCTCTTTAAGATCTCAGATCCCGCCGGCCGGCCTGCCTAACAAAAGGGCACATTCAAACAATAACAGGAAATGACATCTTTGAGATAGGCACATAAATTTAATCCTGTTGGCTTAAAATGCATCTTCAATGATACCATTAAAAACAGTAAACAAGGCACAATCAATTTCATAAAACACAATAGAAAATATTGTCATATGACCCGTGTCCCATATCTTATTTTTAGAAAACCAGCAATTCAGTTCACATACTTCATTAGGATATTTTAACACAGGAATGCAACTATCCGTCCTACTTCTACAAACTAGTTCCCTGAACCGACAGATACCCGTGATCTTATGTTATAAAATGACACTGTAATATTCCTATGTTCTTAAACAGGTGTCCAAAACGCCCCCTGCCACTGAGAGTGTCCTACACCCGTGACCGCTTCTCCACGGGGAGTGCACGGATGACCGAGGGCCAGGTCTGCAACGCGGCAGAACGCCTCCCTCCAGCAGGAAGACGGGGAAGGACAGAGCTGCCCCATCTGCTGCGGCACGAGGGCACAGGCTGACGTCCACGTCTCCCCTTTACTTCATGTGTAAACAGTGCGGTCCTGGCCGAGCCGAGCCCGAGCGGCCCGGAACGTTCCGCTCGGGACGGCTGCGTGCTCTGGGTTCCTCCGAGGGTTCCACCTGCTCGGTGGGCGTTAATTACCCACGTAACTCAGCCTCCGGCCGAGGCCGAGTCTCTCAGGTAGCTGTCATCCATCTCTCCGTGTCTGCCCACGGACGCCGCATGCATATATTATCTATCTGTATGAGACACGTATGTACACATTTACAGACGGGCCTTGGGAACTTATTGCACTTATGTACACAGTGGCCCCGAAGATCTGCATGAGAAAGGCAGCAGGTGCTTCAAGAGTCGAGAGGGGAGGTCCTGGTAACACGCTCTGCTGGAGTAAACATGTATGTGCGGGGGGGGGGGGGCAGCCACGGGAGAGGGTGATCCCTTTGTTCTGGGACGTGGCTTCCACCACCCGGAGGCAGGGAGTGACACTGAGCTCAGGCTGAGCACCTGAGCCTGTGGCCACACACCCCGCCTCTGACTGTAGTGGGCAGGCCCGCTGGCCCTGAAGACACGGGACAGCCCATAGCTGTACGGTCTGGCCACGGTGCTGCTAGCACACACCTGAGACTAATACCACCGAATATTGAATTGAACGTGTAATAAAAATATCATTATAAATACTGTAGCAGATATCCTAAAGGTTCCCAGAGAGTCCATTAAATCTTGGAACAGAGTTTTCACTTTAACCCCAAGTATTTGTATCAGAAAAGGCAAGCGTATAATAGTGTACGGGTTTCTCTCATCCGAGAAGCGCCAATGCCGTGTGCTCCACGCCCTCGCCAAGCCTGAGCGGCCCCATCTCCAGGCGGGAGTCCCTGCCCCCGAGGTCGCCGTGATGGGCAGGAGGCTGACCGTGGGCTGCGGCCTGGCAGACAGCGAGACCTGGCAACACCTCGTGGAACTGCGGGGTCTGCGGGCCCGGCGCCCTCAGATCTCCGTGAGGGTGAGTCTGTACGACCCCCCCACCTCCTCCATCTGCAGCTGGAAGGTGTCCTCGTTGGAGTAGTGCTTCACGATGTTGTCGTCCATGTTCACCAGGATCCTGGGGGGAGGGCGAGACGGGCACTCAGGCTGCCCCCCGAAACCGGGGCGTCCGCGTGCAGCGGGCTCTGCTGCCCACTAGCTGTGACCCGCCAGGCCGTTACCTCAATCCCTAACCCCACATCGCCCGGCTGAGATGGGATAACAGTGCGCGTCCCAGGATTCATGGGGACTCAAGCAAAACACTTGTGACAGTGCAGGGCGTGCGCTCACCAGAACACACTCGCTCCTTTCCTGTTCTCTCCTGTGTATAACCATGCAATAGCGCAGCTGTGGTGAGAACACAGCAAGGCCGTGGCAGAGGACTTCACAGGGCCAGCTTCAGAAAGCCTATCAGTAAGACAACCTACCGATCTGCAGTGCAGTCCCCGACAAAGGACCTTCCCTGGCACGTTACCCTCAGCGTTGAACTGAACCAGCACTAAGTCCGCCCCTTCCCACCAGCCCACCCACCAAGTTCCCGTGAGGATTTGCGTTAGAATTCTCTGCCCTCTGATCCTGCCAAACAGCAGACACTCGGAATGAAAATGCTTTCTGAACAAGGAAGCCTGCTCTGTGGGTGCAAACACGACCCAAACAGAGAGGGGGATAGCAGCAAAGGTGGGGCCTCGGTCAAGACTCACTGGACCCCTGGACTCGGCCCTGGCTTGATCTGGGGCAGGTCTCCTGCTCTGTGCCTCGGCTGCCTGCCCTATACCCGCTAAACCCTGCAGGGAACACCCAGCCCCGAGGGTCACGTGAACGTGCATCACGTGGGAAGCACCTGACCCAGCCTGACCCTTGACGGGGCTCTGCAATGGGGCAGTAACCCTCAGTGGGCTCTGCTGCCAAGGAGAAGAGCAAAACCCATCAGGAGGCCGAGACAGGGAGATAGAAGCAATTTCAGAAAATTTTAGGAAAGGCACGTCCTCCCAGGAATGCATCGAGGAGGCTCTGGACTGGGCCCCAGCGCGCCTGAGCAGCAGTCACACTGAATAAACCCGTCTGACAGTGCTGGGTGCCAGGGAACGAATGCTCACCCTTTTTTACATTTCTTGAATATTTTCCCAATCTTGTCATGGGGAACATCATATTTGTCTGAGATCTAAAAGAGAAGAGCACGGAAAAGAACGATAAGATGGCATTTTACTGGCTTTAACGAACAGCTGTGTCTACGAAACTAGTGGGACAGTCACTCAATTCTGAGTTTGAGTGCTTATGTCTTCCAGCCTGGGCGGGCAGCCCCCTGTGGTGGGAGCTGGAACTGTGCATCCCGAGTACAGATGTCCATGGGGTATCACCTGTCAGCTGTCTTGTTATTTAAGTTTCGACTGCTGCCAGGTCAGAGTGAAAGGGCGTTCCACAGAGCAGGGTTCAGCCGTAGACAAGCTGGGCAGAAGCACAGAGCCGCTCCCCGTTACCGGCTATGAATTACCCTCTCACATCAGTGCCCTGCTCTGTAGGCAACAAGCTACGACGTTAAGAGTTAAATCCGCCGTGTTCACGTGTCCCCCTGTGTTGGACATACATGGGTTTGACAAGTGCTCCGAGACACACATCCACACAGTCACGCATTCCGAGCACGTGACCCGAGGCCTTGCTCTGGGGTCAGACGATTCCCATCAGCTGCGCGCCCTTTGCTGGGGATCGAGCCTGGGCACTGAACCGGGACCTCCTGGTTCCTAAGTGGATGCCCAGCCCGGGCCAGCCCGTTAGGGAGCTTTACTGCAAAGTGCTACTCACGGCCTCCACCAAGCCCTTCAGGGACGGAGTCTTGAGCATCAGGGCGTCGAAGACTTCCTCTGCCTCCTTCCGCACGTAGAGCAGCACTGATCCCCCCGGGAGCGAGGAGAGAGGGGAAAAGGACACGGGTCACACATAGAGAAAACGGGAGGCAGAGCCTGGCACCGGTTAAAATAAAGAGGCGTCCACACCACGGACACCACATGACCCCGTCTACCATGTCCGAGGGCTCAGCTTTCGGCTGCTGAGCCCTGCCGTTCGTGTAGGCTCTCACAGGACGAGGACATCAAACGGACAAGGCTGGTTTGAGCGCCTGAGGCTTCTGGCAGGTTGAGACCTCGCTCCCAACGCAAAAGTCCCACTAAGACATGAGCCCAACGCACCTCTCTTGGGCTCCTCGATCCGGTTCAGCTTAGCGGGCGGGGGGACCACAAAATCGTCCTCGGACCCGAACGGCCCCCTTTTCAGGTTCGAGCTGTGGAGACAAGGCCGGTGTGTGACTTCAAGGCACGTGTGAGACCAGATGGGCCTGGGGCAGGGCTGGCTCAGACTTGGGGTGACCCTCCCTCTTCCTCTGCTCCCCCTCCTTATTGTGGACACACTGAGGCCCCGGGAAAGAGACCGACTGAACAGGGCTGTGTGGGAGGCAGCCAACCTCTGTCTCTCTCTCTCACATTGATGTTTCTTTCTGTGTCTCTGCCCCTTCCTTCCACTCTCTCTAAAAATCAATGGAAAACTATCCTCAGGTGAGATTAACAACAACAAATCCAGGTGTCAGTGGAAAGGAAGAGGGAAGCTGGAGGAAGAAGTGACGAGATGGGCGGGACTGGCTGCCAAAAGCATGCCATGGGCGCTGATCTGTGAGGTTCAGAGCGGTGAGCAAAAAAACCAGTGGAATGACTGAAAACAGAAAGGAGTGAAGGAGTGCCTGGCTTCGAGCAGGATCAGCACTTCAAGAACAGGGTTGGGTTTTAAAATCCTCTGTCCCGGCTTCTGGAACCTACGAGGCTTCCAATGACAGCACAGGGAGTGCCTAGGTCTGAGCACCGCAGAGGTGCAGAGGCCATTGTAGGCACCGTGTGTGTGTGTGTGTGTGTGTGTGTGTGGGGTCTATGACGTGGCCCAGAGGGCCTCACCACAGGGGGCGCAGGTGCCCACACCCAGTGCCCAGCGGGTCCGGGCCGTTCACGCAGAGCAGGGTCGGGGAGGAGGGAAGCACCGGGCCCGGAACAGCTGCCGGAGGTGGGGGAGCGCCAGGCTCCGGGGTGGGGGGTGAGGTCATGTTAGAGTAGGGGTGTCGAACTCAATCAGAGAAGGGGCCAAAATCTAAAATCCAGCCTACATCGCGGGCCGAATGGTTTACTGAACAGTCATAAACTGTCATTGTGATGGAAACGCAGCGGAGTGCAGTGATGACAGCGCGGTGCGGGCCACATTGCAAGGCCTGGCGGGACGGATTTGGCCCGCGGGCCTTGTGTTTGACACATGTGTGTTAGAGGATCTGGGAGCCAATGGGGGCTTTTGCCGGCTTTGGGGACAAGCTGAGCAGACAAGTGACAGTGCTGGCTACGGCTTATTGAGCAGAACTGGAAACCACGAGCCCACGCTGATATAAATAAGGAGTACGTTGAAAGTGTGATGAGGGAGGAGGGATTCACAAAGCTACAAAGCGCCTTCCCCAGAAAGCACTTATTAGAGGAGAGGAGGCTGGGACACCCCTGCATCGGCATCAGCAGGCAGGGGGCCGCCCACAGGCCCCCCGGGGAAGGCAGCAGCTTGGCTTCCTGCCCGGGCACACGGCCTAGTCTGCCCAGGAGGCGACACTGGGGGGCGGTCCACAGAACAACCGGAACCTTCCCCGGCGTTAGCTCGGGGACCGAAGGGGAGATGGGCTGTGGATTGTGGGCGTGGAGGAGGGACAGCTAAGGGCACCGAGTGGGTCCGCGCTGGCCCCTTTCCGCTGTGAGGGCCAGGCTGCCACAGCGGCGGGGCTGGGTGGGTGAGTGGCGCTCTCCGGTCCCGGGGGAGCATCCTCGCCCCGGATGCAGGAGACAGACACCCAGCACTGAGGAGTGACGGGTCACCAGGTCACACGGCTCAGGAAAAGACGAGCTCCATCAGACTTGCAGTTTCCTCCATGTCTGAGACGGTTTCAAGGTGAAAAGGACTTAGAGCAGAACAAAGCATGAGCCTTACCCTTCGCCCTCCAGTTCCTCGGCGGCGACGGAGAGGACCTGCAAACAGAGCACAGTTCAGACCAGTCAGCGATTCCTGAAGCGGACGCGGCCTTGAACCTGACCCAGCCTGAACACCACCTTTCGCCTGTTTTTCATCGACCAGCTTCTTGGAGTCGTGCTGGACTCCTCCACCTCGGGGGCAGCCAGCCTGGCCCGCCGGGCCCAGGAAAGCAAGGGCTTCCAGGAGAGCAAGCGCTTCCGGCCAGTGGCCAGCGCCTCCCTGTGGGCTGAGATGCTGGCGTTGGCACTGCAAGCGGTGGTGATGTCGTCCCAATAGGTGCCGTGTGGCCACAAACACCTCGCCTGTTTGTTACTGTTTCTCCCTCTGTCTCTCCCTGTCCTTCCCACTCTCTAAAAAATCAATGGAAAAGTGTCCTCGGGTGAGGATCACCAACCACTTCCACCACCACCTCCACCCAGCGGATTGAGGTGACGGGTCTGGCACTGCGTGTCCAATGGCGCTCACACGCCCCGTGCTGCAAGGACATCGCGGCACCACGGACACACCAAGAGCCAACCAGACACTGGCACACGCCCTCCGCTTCGGCCTGTTCACACAGCCTTCCTCTGGGTGAGCCTCACGCCCGAGCTGCCCTGGGACCCGGCTACGTACGTGGGTGCCCCGCTGCAGGTTGGCGAAGTGCACGTCGGGAATGAAGAGGACAGGCTGCGTGTCCAGGTCGACAGAGGGCTTGAAGACCGTGATGTCCATGCGTTTGTGAGTGGGGAGCAGCGGCACCTTGACGTCAGACACTGGAAAAGCGAGGACACGCCGTCAGCAGCTTGTGCGTACAGACCGGAGCTGCAAGCAGCTCCTCAATGGTCAGAAGCTGCAACTGCGGCCCCGGGAGGGCAGGCCGTCCCGGACCCCGGAGGACGCGGTATGTAAAGGTATGTCCATTGGTGTTTTGCACATTGAAAGAACGTCTTATCGAAATCAGAGGGAAAAGGCATCTTTACACACACACACACCCTGATCAGGAACAGACGCAGAGCACAGCCTTGACGGAAAGGCTCAAAGATGGGGGTGTATGGACAGAACTCAGGCATTCACTGTGGCTGCCGCATCGAGGAATTCACATTCTAACGTGAGACCTCTTCTAGCTCCGACACCCCTCCCTGCTCCCTCCCTTCAGCGAGGCAGAGGGCATCACTTAGGAGACTCAGGGCCCCCTCCCGGCCCCGGAGGCCTCGGACAGCTTTCCCAGCAGCAGCCGCTCCCAGGAGCGAAGGGGCGCCTGAAGCTGCAGGGCCCTGACAGCGCAGCGAGGGGAGTGTCTGCGGGGCCGGCGCCACGCCCTGGAGGGAACTGTGGCCAAGAGCAGCGCTTCCCTCGTGGCGAGAGGCTTTGGGAATGTGAGTGCTGGTCCCAGGGAAAAGGAAAGGCTTTCCTGGCCAGATGTCCAAGCTGCGGCTCCGCAGCCTCCGCAGACGTGAGGGTGCGGGACAGGAAAGCTGCTCACTGGAGTGAGCGCCTCGCTCTCGGGTGTAACTCTGTTCTTAATGACCCAGGCAGGTCCCCGGGGGCACTCAGCTGTCCCCCAGCTGCCACCACCACCGCGGGACTGACAGCCTAACACAGGCGGTCAGGAGCCCCCTGGGCCTCGGCCCCTGGGGGAAGCCAGGCCCCAGCCTCAGCGGGCAGCACAGCAACGAGCTCCTGGGAGAGCTCAGGCTCGGACAGGACAGGGCCGAGCCCGAAGCCGGAGCCCGGAGCCGGAGCCCGGAGCCCGGCCTCAGCGCTCACCGGGGCGGCAGGCACTTGCCTTTTCTTTTGCTCTGTTTTCGCTCTTCGTCCCGGATTTTCCGTTCGGCTCCCTGTAGGTCAAGGCAGGACAAGAGAAAACATGCTTCTGTTTACCCGATCCTCAGTGTGGGGGGAGGGGGGGGCAGCTCCCGTTGGAAATGGGCCCATGGCCTCTTAGTTCCTGGAGCTTAGCACCACAGGTTCCTCTAAAAGGCCTATTTAAAAATATATATATACTTTTTACTGATTTCAGAGAGGAAGGGAGAGGGAGGGAGGGGGAGAGAGAGAGAGAGAGAGAGAGAGAGATCAATGATGAGAGAGAATCATGGATTGGCTGCCTCCTGCCCACCCCACACTGGGGATCAAGCCCACAACCCGGGCCTGTGCCCTGAGGGGGAATCAAATCGAGACCCCCTGGTTCACAGGTCGACGCTTAAGCCCTGAGCCACGCCGGCCTGCCAGCCAGGCTAAAAAGCCTCTTCTGAAAAGCATGTTTAACTCCGGAATCCCAGGGAAGCAGCACCCCCCCCATGGCTGTGCCAGCTGCATGCCCAGCTGGGAAGCTCGCCGGCGTGCCACTGCCTTAAAGACACAGGAGCGTCACAGCGCGGGGCCGGGACTCGGACGTGGGAAACAGTGAGTGACCGTTTCTCTCCGAGGACACACCGGGCTAAGAGAGAGAGAGAGAGGAGCTCACAGAGAGGGGGGAAGGGAGGCCTCTCGGAGAGCGGCACTGCCTACAAACCAGGAGGCTGAGGGGCTGCCAAGGACGGGGCACAGCCCAGCGTGGCCCTGGTGTGCCCCCAGCAAAATGCCATTTTCCCACCCGGCCGGTGTGCCTCTGCTTTAGCTCTGACCCATGACCCAGGAGGTCACGGTGTGATTCCCGGTCAGGGCACAAGCCCGGGGTTGCGGGTTAGATCCCCAGTAGGGGGCATGCAGGAGGCAGCCAATAGGTTCTCTCTCATTGATGTTTCTATCTCTCCCTCTCCCTTCCTCTCTCTGAAATCAATAAAAACACGTTTTTAGAAAAGTGATTTTCCGTAAGAACAAGATTCTTCTCTTCCCTCCATAACGTGTCCCTGCAAGGCTGAACCAGTGAGGGCCTAGCCTACTCTCCACTAACAGCACAGCATGGACACCGGGCTTGTCCCAGGCCGGTCCCCGCCGGCGCCCCACCTTGTCGCAGAAGACCTTGATCTGGCAGACGGCGCGGTGCACCGGCTTGTTGCTGCGGTGGTTGTAGCTGTAGGTGTCGATCTGGATGTTCAGCGGCAGGCCCTTCACGCCCTTCTGGGAGGAGAAGTCCGTGCTCAGGCAGTTCACGGAGATGAACACCTGCAAGGGAGGCCCGTGAGCCGCGGCCGACGGCAACCGAGGCTCAGCCGAGAGATGCCGACGCCCGGAAACGCCCAGGCTGTTCTACGTGAGCACAGCTGCTCACCGGAGAGACGTTGTTAAGAAAGGGTTCATTTTAGAACCACATTTGGTCAGAGCGACGGCAGACTCTAACGGGAAAGGCAGCCGGGCGCTCTGACTGCTGTCGGGACACGTATGTAGCGTCGCACAGGGACGAGCTGCCGTCTGCGTGTCTCTTTAGAAGTCACCAATAGCACAGGTTCCCTCCCAGCGGCCTGACTGCCTCACACACACACACACACACACACACACACACACACACGCTCTGGGGCCGGCCTGCGTGTCTGTCCGCTGAGGACAGCATGCAGTACCCGACGCTCGAAGGTTCTGGACTTTGTGACATCAGGGGTGACGTCCTGAAAGTGGAACTGAGCGAGTCCCAGCAAAGCTGCTTCGGCAAACAAACACGCTCCATTCCCTCCTATTTCTGTGACTGGATTCCAGCTTCCCACCGTTTTTCTGAGCTCCCTTTCAAGGAGGCTTAGAATTCATTTCTGATGTGTGAGCACCATGCGGTGGATGTTACTGGAATGACAGTCTTAAAAACCAGGCACATGTCAAAGACCCTGGACTGTGTTCCTTCCAGTCCCCGGCGACAGCCCCTCAGCCCGAGCAGCCAGGACCAGATCTACAGGGGACTGTTGTGTCCTGGCTGCACACAGGCCAGACAGGGAGCCGGGTGAGCTAGAAAAGGGGAGAACCTACCAAAGGGGGAGGTGAGGAAGGGTGGGGGGAGAGGCAGAGAGAAAGGAAATCACAGCCGGGGCCTGAGCAGGGATCTGGAAAGCACACAAACGGCTGAGATAGCGCTTCACTCTCCCTCCGGTCTGTGCACGGCTCCTGAGGAGGACAGGACCGAACAGCCAAAAGCTCAGCGCCTGTCTACGCTGACAGGTGTAGCCACCTCCATCCTGTCCCCCCAGCTCTCCGCTCACTCTGGTCTCTGCAGGGAGCTGGCTCCGGCCCCTCCCTGTGCCCGTCCTCCTCCCCGTCCCGTTCCCCTCAGGGCCCCATGGGGCTCTGCCTCTCCTCTCCTGCACCCAGTCAGTCCCTCCTGCACCCAGGCTGTGCCGCGGGCCACAGCAGGGACAGCCTCACTGCGCGCTGATGCTCCAGACCGGGCTGGCGCGTCACACGGGGTCTCCTTCCTTCCTCCCCACGGTCCTCTTGTTTACAAGGAAGGGAGGGAGTTTTAAGTTGTCCCCCAGGGAGAGGGCATGGGGCTGGGCTCCTAGTCAGGACGTCCCCCCATACCCTGCCTCTGTCCCAAACTGTGTGTGAGACTGTGTGTGTGTGAGAGAGTGTGTGTGAATGTGTGTGAGAGAGAGTGTGTGTGTGTGTGTGTTATATGTGAATCCTCACCAGAGGGTATTTTTTTCCATTGTTTTTCAGAGAGTGAAAGGGAGAGAGGAAGAAAAGAGGGAGGGAGAGAGAGAGAAACATTGATGTGAGAGACACAATGACTGGTTGCCTCCTGCATGCACCCCAACCGGGCCAGGGATTGCACCTGCAGACCCTTGGCGGGCGGGCCAGCACTCTGGCCAGGACCCAAATCAACTTCTTATCCCAACCCCTGGCTTTGCTTCACCCCCTGGAACACCTGCAGTCTCCCCACGCCACGTCCCAGGTCCCCGGCTGGACTGCACATCCGTGGTGAGGCACCCACGTTCTCTGCCTGGGCCTTCCGGGCAGTCCTGGCCTCGGACGCCCTGGCTTGCCCACTGTGACCTTCCCTTCCGTTCAACTCGTTTTTTTAGAAAACAAGCACACAGATTTAATGTTTAAATACCTAATCCAGACGATAGGCAGAAAGTGGTACACATGAACTTCAAACCCATTACAGAGACTTAGTGCTCCGGCTGTATTTTTGGAAAACACCTCATATACGATCCATAAATTCAAGTAAAGGAGGTGTCTATGGAACAGATGAGAGAAAGACAACGCAGACAGAACAACGCAGACAGACAGCAGACAGAAGGCAGTCTCCGAACTAATGGAGCTCAGAGAGGCACCACCCCACTGCATTCTTCCTCTCACCGCCAGGGGGAGCCATGCCTTCTCCCTGTCACCCCGACCCAGCGCTCACTTCCTAACGCGAAAGCTGCTGCCCTAATCATCCTTACGTTGCAGGGCGAGGCGGACAGGCTAACGTGGTCTTCCCTTGGTGGTCCGGATCCCCACTTCCACCAGTGACCTCCCGAGACGACACCGGTGTCATTCACCCCTCGGGGCTCCAGGGAGCCGCTCAGCACGAAGGAGCCTTGATTTAGGAAGGGGACGAGCCCTGGACAGAAGGACCCACAACAGACGGGAGGGCTAGCGTGAGAACCCAGGCCCACCCTCCTTTGGTCCTGGGCGGCAGCACAGACGGGTGCTGCTCCCAGGCAGTACCCCTGCCCACCGGCTCTGCCCAGAGCAGCCCCGGAGGAGCAGAGCAACTGGCCGTCTCACCAAGTCTGGGCAAAACCAACATCCGGACCATCCTCCACGTAGAGAGATGGTCTCCACAATGTGATTCCGGAAACCCCAGGATCTCCCAGAGGGGGGAAGAGGCAGAAAGTACGCTGGAGCCCTGGCGGGGGGCTCGGTGGGTTGGAGCGGGGTCCCGCTGCGCCAAGGTTGCGGGTGTGAGCTCTGGTGAGGGCACATGGGAGAAGCAGCCTGTGAATGCACCCCTTCCTCTCTAAAAATCAATCCATAAAAGCTTTTAAAAGGCATTATGACAGGTTCACCTCCTTGTCTATAAAACGAACGTGTACGCCTTCTCTCTCCCTCCCTCCCTTTCTCCCTCCCTATTTCTGAGCCTCAGGGAGGCTGAATGCCACAGCGTCTCCTCTTTGGATGACGCAGAGACCTCTAAGCCCTCACAGGTGATGCTCTTTCTGTTTTCATCCTTTCTCCCATGGATTCCGAGGAAAAGTCTGACTTTATTAAAATACCCATAGAGTAAGTCTCCTGCTCCCGCCCACGTCACCTGGAGCGCAGGAGTGACCGCTCGGCAGGGGGAGCCGCTCGGCAGGTCCTGCTCGGTGTTGCCCATTTGCCCAAGACCGTCCTCACTCCTGACCGGGAGTTCCTGCACTCACCGCTTTCCAAATGAATTACTTTGTTTTCAAACCTCAGCTCGCCAAGGAGAGAAAAACAGCGAAACAAAGGTTCACATGCTAAAGGATCGAGGTGCATGGGTTTTTTGGTCCCAATGCTCACAAGCGCAGAACCAACGAAAGGAAGACCGGTGCCTTTTCCAGAGGCACGTGCCACCCACACGTGCTGTTCACACCGCTGGCTGCTCTGCCCACGGCGCCTCCTCCACGGGGAACACGGAGGGGGAGGAAGACGCGAGAAAACAGCGTGTCCACACACAGGTGGCCAGCACGGCGGAAGCACCGGGACCGGTGTGATGGATCGCCCCTCAGCTCCCCCTCACAGACCGAGGCCAGCCCCGGACAGCGTGCCGGCTCTCCGCTCCACAGGGCCGGGAGCTTTAGCCAGTCAACTCCACTTGCGGGGAAATCACGGAAGAGTTGTTCACCATCTCACCCACGGAAAGAGAGCATGAACAAAGCACCTGGAGCCCAGGCTGGCTGCTCAGTGGTTAGAGCGTCGGCCTGTGGACGGAGGAGTCCCGGGTTCGATTCCTGGGCAAGGGCATGTAACCTCGGTTGCAGTTTCCCTAGCCCTGCTAAGGGTGTATGTGGTGACTTTCTCACATCAATGTCTCTCTCTCTCACTCTCTCTCTCACTCTCTCTCTCTCTCTCTCTCTCCCTCCCTCCCTCCCTCCCTCCCTTCCATTCCCTGGAAATCATTGGGAAAAATATCCTCAGGTGAGGATTAAAAACAAACAAAACAAAGCACTTGGAATCTGTCAGTCAAGTTACCAAAATTGCAAGTAGTTGAGCCAGAAGCTAAATGACGAGTCAGACTCACCCATGTGTACAAGCCTGGGTTACTGCTCCTTTAAAAATGTATCAGGGCAGTGACAGCCGTGCTATATCCATGTACAGGAGAAGAACCCAGCATCCAAGAAACAGTCTTACTTTGTTTCCCAACTGGGAGTTAGGTCGAATTCTGCATGTTTTCATAACATTGCTACTATAATACTGAAAATGACTTCTTTTGACTTTCATAATATGTTTTTTTCAATGAATAGTATAAAATTATTTCAGAATGTGAACCTTTATTCTAGCCGCTGTGGCTCAGTGCTTGAGTGTCGACCTACAAACCAGGAGATCACAGTTCAATTCCCGGTCAGGGCACAGGCCCGGTTGCAGGCTTGATCCCCAGTGGGAGGCGTGCAGGGGGCAGCCGGTCCATGATCCTCTCTCATCATGGATATTTCTGACTCCCTCTCCCTTTCTCTCTGAAGTCAGCAAAATACATTTTTTTAAAAATGTGAACCTCGCCGAAACCGGTTTGGCTCAATGGATAGACTCGTAGGGGTGTCGAACTCAATCAGAGAAGGGGCCAAAATCTAAAATCCAGCCTAAATCACGGGCCGAATGGTTTACTGAACAGTCATAAACTGTCATTGTGATGGAAACGCAGCGGAGTGCAGTGATGACAGCGCGGTGTGGGCCACATTGCAAGGCCTGGCAGGACGGATTTGGCCCGCGGGCCTTGTGTTTGACACATGTGGATAGAGCATCGGCTTGGGGACTGGAAGGTCCCGGGTTCGATTCCGGTCAAGGGCATGTACCTTGGTTGCGGGCACATCCCCAGTAGGGGGTGTGCAAGAGGCAGCTGATCGATGACTTTCTCTCATCGATGATTCTAACTATCTCTCTCCCTTCCTCTCTATACAAAATCAATAAAATATATTTTTTTAAAAATGTGAACCTCTAAGAATATGAACCACCCTTATGACAGTTTGGATAAGTTTTCTTCTTGAGTTTTTATTAAGGGACGAAGTGTTCTTCTT